CATGGCCACAACACTAGAAAAGCTTTGAACCTTTTCTCAGACGCGGAGGAAGTGGGGTTAATGCTGGTTACGGATCCTGGCCTGCCCACACGGGCTGCGCGGCATTTTGCTGATAGGGATACAACTCCTGACCTGGTCTACGTCAATGACGCTAGGATCTCATGGGAAAACCTAATGGAAGATCTCGGCAGCGATCACCGGGTAGTGGAGATTGAGGTACCATTGAGGGAGAAACCGCGGCAGTGGAGAGTAAAGGGCCTGGTCAATTGGGACCTTTTCAGGGCTTTATGCCCAAGCGGCCCCATTGAGAACGTTGAAGCGTGGTCGAGGGAACTGACGAATACGGTTGAAAGCGCGAGAAGGGAAGTGAACCTTGATGAGGCAATAAATAATGCAGTAGGGGGCATAGTAGATAGCCGACTGATATCTTTATTAGAGGCACAGGATTCTATCAGGATGAGGTGGAGGGCAACTGGTAGGCGCAACAGAGCCCTGCGCAAAAGATTGGCTCAGCTTAATGGGGAAATCAGGAAGCATTGCGAAGCGCTGTCCCGTCAGCAGTGGGACGACGTGTGCGCGCGAGCGGAGGGCAGCCTACATTGTGGAGACACATGGCAACTACTTAGACACTTATTGAACGAGGACTCGACCAAGGCGGCAAAGGGCCGCAAGCTTAAGGAAGTGGTCGGCAGATCTGTAAGGGATCTGGGGGTACAAAAGGTCAAAGATTGGCTTAAGAACAAATTCCTGGGCAAAGGTGAGAAGACTTGTGGAGTACGGTACGAAGGGCCAGAGAATCCAGAGTTGGACAAACCATTCGAGATGTGGGAGCTTAGGGCGGCACTAACTAAAGCTAACCGTCGCTCAGCTCCGGGATTGGACGGGATCAGTAATTCGGTCTTGTCAAATCTATCAGATGAGGGACTAGAGAAACTATTAGACCTGTACAACAAGGTGTGGGAAGAGGGAGCCCTCCCTGAGCCCTGGAAAGTAGCAAAGCTGGTGCTAATACCCAAGCACAACAAGCCGCCGGACCTGGAACACCTCAGGCCAATTTCCATCACCTCGTGTGTATGTAAACTCCTTGAACATATGATCCTAAGGAGATGGCAAGCGTTCTTGGAAAGCAAAGGGTACTTTCCGAGCTCAATGATCGGCTTCCGCGAGGGTCTGGGTGCACAAGATGCCATGCTCATCATAAAACACGAGGTGGTGGAAAGCAAGAAGCCCGGGGTGATTCTAGGTCTGGATCTAAAAAGTGCGTTCGATCGAGTAACCCATGAAGCCATCCTAACCGGAGTTAGCAAGGCGGGGCTAGGGAATAGAAGTTTTGCCTTCGTAAAGGATTTCCTGTCTAACAGGAGAGCTAAATTGGTGGCCGGGGATCTGGAGGTAGGCGAAGGGAACCTAGGTAATGCTGGCACACCACAGGGTTCAGTGATATCTCCTGTGTTGTTCAACATAGTGATGGTGGATGCAGTACGTGCTCTACGTCGGGAAGGAATACCACATGTAGTATACGCCGATGACATTACTATGTGGTGTCTAGACAAACGACGCGAAGTTGTGAGAGGGACCCTGCAAAGAGGTATCGAACTGGTGGAAGAAAACTTAGAGGGAACGGGACTGGTGTGTGCACCAGAAAAATCTGAGTACTTAATGTGTCAACAACATCGAAGCTCGTGGAAAGAAGTATTACTGTACGCGGACGGAGGGTTGATACCGAAAGTGCCTACGCTTCGGGTGCTGGGTTTGGTGTTACAAGAAAAGGCGGGCAACTCCGCCATGCTAGACAGGCTGAGGGCAAAGGTCCTGGCAGCCATGCGATTAATACAGAGGGTCTCCAGTAGGAGACGAGGCATCAGAGAAGAGGAAGTGTTGAGGCTAGTCCAGGCTTTTGCCCTCAGCCATATCATGTATGTAGGGCCATATCTCAAATGGTGGAAGGCCGAGCTAAACAAGCTGGATGCGATGGTGCGGAAAGCTTGCAGAGCCGGTTTGGGGGTGCTCTCTTTCACGCATAACGCCGACCTGGACGCCCTTGGGGTGCATAACTCGGTGACCGAGATGATTGAGGCACACCGAGAAGCTCAGGAGTTAAGGCTTGCCGGTACTGCGGCTGGACGAGAAATTCTCGCCCGAGTCGGCGTAAGTCGTGGAAACACCGGACTAGCTGAGTTACCCAATGAGACCATGAGATGTGTGAAAGTGCGCCCCATCCCGAGACACATGCACCCCACGAGGGACGCTGGGCGTCGTGCGGCCAGAGCGCAAGCTCTGGAGCGACTGTTCTTGAAATCTGGAGGAGCGGTCTGTGTTGATGCAGCTGTACGTGATGGAGTTGGGGTGGCGGTTGTCACGGATCTGGCCACCGGGGAAATCAAGACGGCCCTGAGTGTTAGGGGCGGAGATGTTTGTGTAACAGAAGGAATTGCCATAAGCCTAGCGGTTTCCCTGCCAGGAGTTAAAGCAGTGCTAAGCGATTCGATGACTGCGGTGAGGGGGTACGCGCGCGGTCGTGTTCCGCCTCTAGTCGCCAAGCTGTGCAAACCTCGTAACGAGGTGGAAGTGGTGTGGACCCCTGCGCACATGGGCGGCAATGTCGCTCCTGACCGAATGGCCCGAGAGTTATTAGGCCGGGCTTTCGGTGGGGCGGCGGTGTTCGCTCCGGTGGGCTACGGGGAAGTATTACGAGCGAAACGAGAAGCGCGGCGGGTGTATCCCCCTCCGCACGAGAACCTAAGCAGAGAGGAAGCCGTCCTTCTAAGGCAGCTTCAAGTGAAATGCATCTTCACGCCGGTGTTGGGCCGGTATGTGGCTCCGGACGTGTACAGAACGGATGCGTGTGTTATATGTGGGGAAAAGGCTACGGTCATGCACGTGTTGTGGGACTGCAGTCCGGTAGGCGCGCCTGGAACGTTGCCTGAGATGTTGGACGCCGGAGTCAAGGATACGACACTGGAAGGACAGCGAAGGGCCGTTCAGAAGGCTCGGGAACTGAGGGACAGGCAGGTCCGCAACCGGGCCCCCTGCACCCTTACCCCGGGTGGGGCTTTCGGCCTCCCCTAGCCAGATGGGCTAGCTTTTGAAGACAAATAAAGACGTTTATTCCTCCTCCTCCTCCTAGCTCTAAAATTTTTCTTTTTCGTTGTAAATTTGTTTTATGACTTCCTTTTCACAACCAGGATGTTTAAAAATTTTTTTCCTTTGCTTGTGACCTTTGAGTGTGCTGCCGATTTTGTTTTTCTCAAACCACTGGTTCACTTCTTTTAAAATTATTTAGAAAGCTTTGAAAACTTGGCCAACACAGCTTGCGTGTCATGTGAATGGATCACTGTTAAATACCGTCGAATGATCGCTACTGTGTTCACTGAATCTCAAGATAGCTCTAGAAATGTTAATATACCAGGGGGCATCCAAAAGTAACCAGGATTTTATGTGCCTACGTTCTGTATTAACAAATCACGCCACCGGGTATCGTTATAGCGTAATTAACACTCGTCGGTCTGCCCAGTGTTATAGTTTCAGGTAAATTTCTGTGTCATGCTATACTTGCTCTTTGTTGATAGGTACAGGCAACATTTGGCGATTTTATGATGTTTGTCCAAAAGTAGTAGAAAACAACTGTAAACGGCTCCTATAAGGACGACACCTTGGGCAAAATGCAAGTCTACAAGCGCTTTTCACTTTTCAAGAAAGGCAACATGTTGGTTGGGGACTATTTACATTCTGGTTCACCTTTTATGGTCAGGAATGATGCAAACATCAAAAGACCTTGCTAGGCGATTAACAAAGGTTGCCGAAAATCTTTGAAGAAGTTTCTGAGGACTCCAATGTGTCGTGGAGCTTATGGCGGCAAACTGACAGAAAATGAACAAATAAACGTGTGTCCGCTAAATTCATGCCTCGCATGCTTACATAGCATTAAAAAAATAATCACCAGCATTATTTTCTGCAACATGAAAGAGCAAATTCATCATGATGTGGACAGAAGGTTAGGGTGGACTTAGACCGGAGATTAAAGGGATACTACAACGAAATTTCGGCGCTCATTTTTTGGTCTATATGTGTTCAAAGGAGCAGCATCACATTGAACATACCAATATCTTGTTAAAAAAGTCACGAAAAGGAATTTTAAAACAAATTAAACGATTAGCAAAGAGCACCTGGTGGATGTCGCTAACGCCTCGCTTGTAATGCCCGTCTAGGAACCTTGACAGCTAGTGACGGAGGTTGTCTCGCCTCCGGCCACGACGAGAGAAGAGGGGCAGGAGGAACTCCCTTCTTCCTGAGAATGCCTTTTGTGTGTCGCAGAAGTCGCTATTGTCCCCCTACAAGATTACAGAAAATTAACCCGTCACTCAAAATTCGTTCAAAACCAGCCGCTTCGGTGGCTGGAACGACTAGGCTATCCTCTCGATGTCAGCCTCGCCGTAGCTTTGCTCGTCCTGAGACGACGTACGTCACGATTGCGTTGGATGTCACGTGGTCTCCGCTGGGCCTTCTCCAAGCGCTTGCCAGAGTGGGCTGTTTATAACGAAAAATACAGCCACCAGGCTCAAAATACAAACGTGCGATTGTCATTTACGGATATTGTGGATCATATTCAACCTATCTTTGAATACGACGGGAATATTTCAAATTTCGTTGAAGTATCCCTTTAAGGTACAACAGAAGCACAGAAGTCTGGAAAGACGTGTGTTTTTTGTCATCCTATTATCTCCGCAGTCTCGGGGGGAAGGGTTGCTTTTATGACATTAACTTACTTTTGGAGGTTATGACAGGCTGAGACCTGGTGCCGTGGCTCTGACCCAGAAACAAAGCTGCTGTTTCAGATTTAAGGAAAGCTGCATTGATACTCTGTGCTCCTTGTGGACAACCATTACAAAATTGTGGAATGTTGGTTGTGCGCATTACAAAAATCTGTTACATAATATCCCGTCCACCTGGGACGACACTCGACAGTCCGACAAATGAAACTGTTAGCGATACTTGATAGCATGATTTGGAGATACCAAGCATACTCGCACAAAAAATTGAAGTTCAGGTTACGCTTGGCTACTCCCCATATAATTTCATTTTTACAGTACTCATAAATCGGACTTGTTTTTTATTTCGCCTTAATACTTATAGTAATATCAAGTCTTGTTTCGTTTTCTAGCTATCCAAAGAAGAAGTTCTACTTCAAAGCAGTAAATCTGCTCTTGTTGAAGTACCCAGCTCTCACCGATGTCACCGGGACTGGCTATGTAAGTGGTGGTTAACCATGGGCTGTTGCACTCTGAATATGCAGGTGTTTTATTTTATACTCTCTTGGACTGATTCGCTGTCATCACCGCAAGGAAGCGCAAACCACATTGACCCTAGGTGCTAGCGAAAACAGTGATGAAGTCCACTTGCTGGTCATTGTGCACTTGTTTTCCTTTGTTACTCGTGAGCCTTTTGTTTACCCCTTGTGTACTCGTAAACAAACCGGCCACTTCCAGCGAATAGCGTAGTCGAGTGACCAAGGCCACTTGACTACAATGCACATCTGGCATCTCTTGGATAGTTTAAACTAACTGTACGTTGCCAGCAAGCCTCTTGTGAGAGCCTTATTTTTTGTATTGAGCATAATAAAATAATTGACTAAAGGCTGTTCCACATGCGTCCAAAATTGATGCGATTTCAGTAAATCAGCAATTGAAATCGTAGTCGCACTGTCGCAGCGGCTCTTCAACTGGGTTCCGCCAAGTTGGAATTTTGTCGCAGAGGCCGTGCAGTCGCAACGCTTTTTTTGCACAGTCGCATAGGGAACAGCCTTAAGACCAATAACCTTAAATTTCTGGGCCTAAGTGTTATTCAGAAGATTGTAGAGCGCATCAGAAACATCCGACCTGCGTTTGCAACACATTAGGCTCCGCGTGACTCTTCTTATGGCCCCCCTCCCCCCATAAAAAGACAGTGAATTAAAAAGAGTGCCACATGACATCGGATGCTGGCTTTTTTTGATGGGCGGTAAAAAGAACCAAAGATTAATGTTTTGCAAGAATGTAATTAGTATGTTTGTTTAGTCGCTTGGCAACTTCTTAGTTGACATTTCCACCCTTGAATGAATAATGAAAACTTATTCTTTATCATTTGATAATGTTTAGTCCAAAAATAGTGGCATTCTTGTTACCCTCAGTTAGATTTATGTGTTTAGAGCGCTCTGTTTTTTTTTAAAACTTGATTTGTGTTACCTGGGATACCCGGTATAATTAGCAGTATATGACAATAACTACTTTCATTTTTTTAACAGGAGTCCTGGATCGTTGCCCTACGAAACAAGTTCAAAAACGAGCGTAGGAAAATAACTGGTAATGTGGCCGTCGATGAGAACCGATCCAAATTTGGTGGCGCAACCAGAAAAAGGACTGCAAACAGAGGCTGTGCGGCGCCAGAGACATTAAGCAGAGGAAAAGTGAAGAGATGTTTGGTAAGTTTTTATTCATTCGCTCTTCATTTTTGAATTTGAGGTGAACCATAGTATTTGGCATTGCACATACTAATTTACTGCACACTATCATCTGTTGTCCGCAATGTACAAACTCATAATGCATAGCAATGATGTGGGATATGAGGCAATGAAATAATGAGCATGCGTAGCACTGTTTCACACCGAATTAAAGCTCACTCTATTTGACTTTTTGGTTAGTTCGTAGTATGGGGACGGTTCTGGCAATCATACATAGTACAAATGTATAAAATATGGGCACAGCAATTCGAAGTCTACTGTCCGGACCTGGTTAATTCGAAGGATTTTGCCATGTTTTAATAGAAGAGTATCTCCAGGGGCACCAAACAGCCTGCAAATGTACCGACACTGCCTAACTAAAGCACAACCATATACGTTTTCATCTACACCATGGCCATCTTAGCGTTGTTGGGCCATTTCTGCTCAAGGAAAAAAAAGATGGCAGAGCCAGTTACGCTACCAAGCGTTCCAAAAGTCAAGCCAAGAGACCTAGCACTGCAATGTGAATTGCAGAGAACATGAATGTGCGAAGATCTCATGCGAGGATTTCATGAGGAACCCTCGCGTGCAAGAGTCTAGTGAACATAAATGTTCCTTAGATCCTTGCACTGCAACACAGATCGTATCCGGCCCAAAACCTCCTTGGGGCTGGCTGTGTTTACTGAATCGTGCAACACTGCCCACTCGTGGGCAGTGAAATCATTGAAGTGATTAGGCCTAGGAGCCCTTGCATCGCTTTCAGTTACGAGCGATGAGAAAACTGCATGGCCCGTTTTGGAGTGCTTTTTCAAGACGGGAGTACCAACAATGCTCATCGATATGTTTGCAATTTGGGAATAATGTTTTCCTGGGACAAAATTCAAGATAATTCTGCTTTTACTCACCATGTAGAACTTGCAAGCATGCAATCCGTTAAGCCAGTCATCTACTAGCAGCATATGCTTATATGTGGAGCTTCCACTTCATTTTTCAAATTGATCATCTACCTCTATCTCACTAGTTATGTGCACCTCAGGCAAAGGCAACGCTGCATGAGCTTAGAAAGGGCGAGCACTGGGAAGGCAGCAGGAAGAGGAGGACAATATAGGGCGAGCCCTAAGAACGTTGGAGAAGCTAGGAGGTTTATCTGATCCTCCCCAGGCTTCCAAGTGCTTTCACTTTCTCCCCTCACCCGGCATTACCTTCGCCTGTGCTACACACAACTAGTGAGACATTGTACGGGAAAATGTGCAACACATTTTCCACAACACAATTAGCACATTCTAATTCTTTGCAAATCATGTGAAATATTAACAATTTGTGTTTACAGACAATGTGCACTTTGCCTGGGGTGGGAGAAGACGCCACCAGCTTGGAGGCACACGAGGTGTGGTTATGCAACGAGGGGAAAAAGGTGGCACCGAACGAAGAGCAGATTGATGTACGAATGGATGCCACCGCGAGCAGAAGGCTTCGGAACCTTTCAACGATGGACGTTCCTTCTGTCAAGGAAACATATCCTTACCTTATGGATGCCAGGAGGGTAAATATTGCTTGTGTGGCATGCCATACTTCCCCTTACAACATACTTGTTTGCCCTTTCACCGAAACGTTTCCTACTTTGGCAGCTTCTCGTTAAAGCATTATAAGACTGTGGGGTGTGAGCATACCATTGAGCAGCGGTTTCACCGTGCATGTGTGCAGAGGGTCTTTCTGTATGAGAAGCCAGCAGGATGTCTGGTGTTGAACCACTTTGCATGTTGTGCAAATGGCACTGGGACTATGCCACAGGACATCTCTTGATGCAGCTGAATGCTGGGATGCTTGCACATAGCATCCTACACTGCCAGGCGCTGTGTACCTGTAGCTTGTAGCCATAGTTTGAAGGGTTTAAGCCTTCACAAAATCATTGTACAAACTAAACATGTTTCTAAGATACAGTACATGGCAGTCTATCTCTGGTGCCGTGCATGCTAAACACCCACTTGTCCTCCCTGTTTGCAGAAGCACCAGGAAAACCTATTTAGGTTAAAAGTGAGGAGAGTAACTGAATATATGGAAATATTTATAGTGGGTTAAAATTGAGAGTATGTGGTGTTCTTTTAATATTGGTTTTATGTTCTTATCTTCAGTGACATTCATCCACACACACATGCATTATTTACTTTCAGTTCATCAAAGATTTTGAAAGACAAATGAAGATGGAGCCAATGCAGGCGATGGCCCAAGGTATTGCAAGTGTGATAAGCCTTGCTACACGCAAGATTTTGTCGTCGAAGCAAGACCTCCTTCAAGACGTTGAAAACATCTTGGCACAAGACGCCGAATGCAAACGAGCGAAACGTAAGCTTAATGTATGTAACTTCATTTTTAAGTGCTGAGAGACTTCCAACATCCAAAAACACCATTAGGGCAGCTTCATGTAACATTCTTTCAGTTAGGAGTCTCGCTGGAATCCACTGGGGTGAACCTTGTCCACAGTGACTTTGTGGAGGGATAGGGCATAGTCAGCATAGGTTTCGGCGACCCAAATGTGCCCCCAATTGTGCCTTTTGAGTTCCATTGCCAACAGAGCCACTCATTATGCTTTTGCGTTTTATCAACACCAAGGGGGAACTGTGACCGAGTGGTCTAGCGCATCTCAGCTTGGAGCACGGGGAACGAAAGCTCACACTGCAGAAGTTAGGAACCCTTTGTTCGATCCCCGCCTCTGCCCATTTCGATCTCGATGAGCATTGCACCGGCACACGCTCGTGTATCACTGCTGCATGATGCACGTTAAAGACCCCGTGCTAGGGGTCGTCATACCTGCCAAGTTTTACGATTTTATCGTAAAGTGTCCGCTTTCCAGCGCTTTCTTACAGTTATCGTATTAACAACAATATTTGTACGATTTTCCGCACCCCGTGTAAAAAAAAAAGTTTTTGTTTAGGCTGCATCTTGCCTGTTTACAAGTTGGGGTTGGCAACACTGGTACATCGACTTGTATGTGTTACTGGAACTTTTACTCATGCTCCCTTGAAACCATCTTTGGTACAGGATGTCGGAAAAAGAATACTTCCAAGTGTTTATTCCCACCTATTCAACCGACTTTCCATTTATGAAAACGTCGCGTAAGGGCGAAAGGTATGGATTTGGTAGTCTGTGTCGCTGCGATGTCAACATTCTGTGTCATCTGAATACAAAACAGCACAAGGACTCTGCAAAACTAGTTGAAACCAACGAGAAGCTTGGAGGGTACTTTAGGCGATCAACGGATTACGACACTACCCGAGCAGAATGCCTTTTTACGGCATTTTTGATCGAAGACAACGTGCCGTTCACAGCGGTCGTTGTGGAGACGTTAAAGAGCAAGAACTTTGCTTTTTAACGTCTTCGTTAAACCAGGCACAGGCGAAAGAGTTTTCAGCAAAGTGAAGAAGGCACACACGCAGTTCCGCCCCTCTATGTCGAAAAAGATTCTTGAACAGTTGTTAGTTGTGAGATGCAGCCAGTCCGGAAAGTACCACGAACAAGTGTTTGACAAGAACTTCCTAAGAATAGCAAAAGCTGCAACTTCCTCAGTGTTGGCCCAACCTTCTACTTCTAAAGAATAATACATTTTGTGCAATGTATGATTTGTTTGTGCCCTAGTTGAGGCATTTGTCTTACCTAAACCAAGTTTTTGAAGAATAAAACAGTTTTCGTATTTCTTCACACAATTGTAGTGTTTTTTGGCATCCCCTATAATATTTTCAGCATTGTAGGGTTGGCAGGTCTGGGTCGTACTGCACTGGCTAAATTGCTCATAGCGAGAGGCTCGTCACATCTTTGAAAATGGCTGACCAACTTTGCACTGTTGGAACATCCACACAACCCAATATTTTTTTTTATCAACACTAAGCGGGACACTAGCGATGTTGGTATCCTCCTTAGCATGTAATTGTCGCTAGCACTGTTCTTAGTGTCAGGACAATAGGAGCAAAGGGTTACCTGCATGGTTCTCGACTGCTTATCTGGGGAGAAACGGCGATTTGTCCAACTGCCCGTTGGGATACTTGCGCATGTAAAGTCATGTCCTTTAAATTTGTTTTTCAGACAACCTGGCAATGGCAGCCCTGAAAATCCTGTCCAGCAATGTGAAAGAAGCGGCGGCATTCAAGCTGGTGTTTGTGAAGGAAGATGTAAGTTTCGCAAACTTTCTCACTGCTGCCCTTTGTCATAAAACCTAAAAGGATACATATATAAGCTCAAGTGTTTTTCTTTTAATTATTATTTTTTTTTTTTTAGGAGTGCCCACGCACAAAGTGCATATTGTAGAGCAGAGGACATCTAAAATATCTGAGTGCATTCAGTGAGCTAATTCGCGCAATCACGCTCTCTGTGTGTGAACTCGCACATATGCAGAACGCGCCAAAAGGAAATAATCGGGCTGCTTCTCTGCCTGCTTTGCTGAAAATTAATGTTCATTTTATCGATTAGATGACATATCCGCTGACTTCCCGACGATGCTACAGTGATCACTACAGAGCAAATACCGAGTAATGAACTCAACTGTCTTCTCAATGTATGTTGGTAATGTTGATGGTAGTGTTGCTTTATTTATGATAGGAAAAGTACCAATCTCTTTGGGAGTCTCCCAGGGGGGGGGGGGGGGAGGGGCATGTATAAACCTGGGGTCCTAAATTGGACGGCGGGACGAACGCCAGCCAGGTGACGTCAGAGCTGAGTGGCACCTCCTAACATTCTAGTCACCATGACATTGGCGATATCCTTTCGCCCATGACGTCACGCAAATTGTCGACCGCGTAGCGCCAAGCGTCCCTACATTCTCCCTAGTGCTCCACTGGCGTGACTAGAATCAAAGGAGGCTCCGCTAGGCAGTCAAGGTCACGCTCAACGCCATCGAATCATGGCGCGTGCTGTTATCCTCGTCCCTTTGTCCCGTCGTCCAACTTAGGGCCCCTGGCTGGGAGGTGGATAGTGGGACAAAAAGGGTAGTGACATTGGATATATTCGGTGAATGGTGATAATTAAGTTCTAGAGTCTACCGTCTGATGATGACACACAGGACCATTATAAATTCGGTCTGTGAGAGCGCTTTCCTTAAGGAAGCTTAGTAGAGCTATAAACTCGGGCTGCATTTTGCTCGGAGGACCCGAGGAGAATGTCAAGTCTTTTAGCATGAATCGAGAAAATCTATCCTAGCATAGCTTGTTTGTGAGGTTTTTCTGGGGGGGCCAAAAATGCAGGCATACCAGAAATAAGTGATCCAGAGTCTCTGGTGCTTTACATGTTTCGCAGTTTTGGTGTGTCCACTTTTCCTTACTAGCGAAGGGTGGCGTGGGTGTTGATGTCGATTGCTCAGAGTTAGTGTAGCATAGCGCTATCAGCACGCTTGAATGCAGCGTGGTACTGGTGTAGGGGGTCATCTTGTCGCAGTGTCGGGATCTGGGTGCTGTATTTGGATGATGCCCTTGACTAGGCTTTCAGCCTCGATTAGCCTGTGAAGGAAGACTGTTAGGGAGTCATCACCTAATAAAGCTTCTGAGCAAGATCATTAGCATGTTCATTGTCCCCAATTACAGTGTGTACGGGAATCCATTGGAAGACACGTTTGCAGCTGTAGCTTTCAGATCGTCTGGCATCAAACGCTGTTATCCTTGCTAGGATACGAAGATCGAGGAGCTATCAGGGTCAAGGAGGCTGAGGAGTGCTCCTCTAGAGTCAGTTCCCTTACTCGGTCTTCGGTCGTAGCCTCTGTTCCTAGCCAAACACTACAGACGGGAAGAACTCTTCTTTACATTTTATCCCTCTCTCTTGCAAGGCAAACAGAGCTCTCCAACTTCTTGTGGACGTCTTACAAACACAAGAAACAGAACCAATGCATGCGTGCACTTATGTCTGCCCTTAGTGAACTTGTCGACGTGTATCCACAGTCCCACACGTCACCCGGGGAACAAAACGTTGTGTACCTTGATTCTACAGGGTATAGTCAAACGACAAAGAATGAGCAGTGTGTCTACTGAGATTTGCCAGGCTTATAATTAAGCTTGCGAGCTTTTAATTGCTCGGGTGACACGCTTCTCCCAATACGTCATCCAATTTATCCGTAGGAACATGGTAAAGCTTTTTGTCATGCAGAATGGAAGTGAAAGTGTGACTACAATATACTTCATCTTACCCGTACCATGAACTAACTGGTGATGTTAACAAGTGCGAGCCGTTAGCTTTTGCTGATGCCCCTGCTGCTAAATCGCCCGTACAGCCGAGGCACAATTAAATGCAGGGAGCTCGCATTTGTAGCCCTTATGTTTAGTCCATGTAAAGGTGAGATGAAGAATGTAGGTAGGACATCTCCCGCAATGGCACACCAGCCACCGGCACTGCGTACAGCTGGCCAGTGTCAACAAGGTGTTAAAGTCCGAAAAAGTATCTCCAACCAAAATTTGAAAGGCAACCCGACGTTTCAAAACCAACACGGTTTCTTCTTTAGGGGTGACTGAAGGCACGTGGACACAGCAGCAGCTCCTAACCTCTTTGTCTTCAAAAAAGAAAAGAAAGAAAGGGAAAAGAAAAAATTAAAAAAGGAGAAGTTATGGAGATGGTCGTCTCTTCAGCTTTTCCGTCAGGTCACGGAGGCCATGCGCGTACACAGAGGGCAGAGCGCCCAGCGACCTGTTTAGGTTTCCTGGCGTGTGCTGGATTTGCCACGATTCCAAGAAAAGTCTTCTTCGAAAATTGGGCTCTGTGTCCACCACGTGCACGTTCGCAAAGTCAATGCGATGGTCTAGGGTATTGCAATGTTCGGCGATGGCGCTACATTCACTGTCAAACTTCCGCACGTCGTTCTTGTGTTGGCGGATACGCTCGGAAAAGTTCTTCGTCTCGCCGATGTTGGTTGCAGGGCACTCTGCGCAAGGAATGGTGTAAACCACGCCCTGTGCTTCTTTTGGTAGACGGTCTTTCGGTCTTGACATAAACCTTCCCAGTGTGGACGTGGGCTTGTGGGCCACCAGAATACCTTCCTTTCCCAGTACTCGTGCGAGCGCTTCGCTGGTTCCCTTTACGTAGGGAACGCTGATGCGCGCGACTCGATGGGGCTGTCATTCTTCTACTGGCATCTGGTTTTGTCTGGCGAGACCTTGGCGTCGGGCGATGCGCTCAATAAAGCTACTAAAGTAGCCATTTTTCTTTAGGTCTTTAATTATGGTCTTCTCCTTCTTTCTCTCGGTTTGCGACGAGCAGATAGTCGTTGCCCTACGCAGCAGGGCCGAAACCGGCCTTATGACTCGTTGGTTGGAGTCAAAATCGAGGTAGCGTCTGGTGTGTGTTGGTTTTCGGTACACTGCAAACGTCAGATCTTGTCCTCGTCGGTTCACCAGCACATCAAGGAACGGCAAGGTGCCGTCCGTCTCACATTCCACGGTAAATTTAATGGCCGGCTCGATAGAGCTGAGGTGTGCCGAAAAATTAGTCACATCCCGTTCCTTGAGAATGCAGAAACAATCATCCACATAGCGCATGAATACTTTGGGGCTGTTAGGGAAAGACCTCGGCGCTTTTTGCTCGATTGTCTTCATCGTGAGGTTCGCCGTTGTGATCAAGATGGCCGCACCCATTGCAGTGCCACTCACCTGTTTGAAAAGCTTCCCTTTGAAGGTGAAGTATGTGCTGCCGAGACAAAACTCGAGCAGACGGCACAGCTCCTCCACAGTGGGGTTGGTTCTTGTGGTCAAGGAGCTGTCTTTTTCGAGGGCTTTGTGGGCTGCAGCAACTGCAAGGAGAACTGGGACACTTGTGAAGAGGGACACCACGTCGAAAGACACCATGGTGTCACCGTCGCTGAGATGTATTTGCGAGGCGCGTTCCACAAAGTGGCCAGCATTTTTTACATGGGTCGACGTGTTTCCGACGAGGGGAGCCAAAGTCCGGTGAAAATAATTGGATAGCGCCCGAAGCGGTGAGGTTGTAAAGTCCATAATAGGTCGTAGAGGCACGTTGGGTTTGTGGATCTTTGGAAGGCCATAAAAACCTGGAGCGGAGCCATTCCTGCAAATAAGTCGCAAGTAAAGGCTCTTTGACTCAGGGTATTTCTTGAAAATCTCTGGATTTCGTTCAAGTTCCTCTGAACCTGTGGCATCTGTTCTTTCTTGAGCTTTACATAAGCACGGCTGCCAAGAAGATCCCGTACCTTTTCCTCGTACACCTCCCGGTCCAGAACGACGGTCGACTTCCCTTTGTCAGCCGGCAGAAGCACAATCTCCGTATCTTCGCAAAGTTTGCGAAGCGCTGTAACTTTTTCCGCCGGCAGGTTGTGTCGTTGCCGCTGTGAAAGCTTCAAAAGGATGCCCACTGCTTTAATCCTTTCGAAGCTCCCACAGCGGCAACGACACAACCTGCCGGCGGAAGAAGTTACAGCGCTTCGCAAACTTTGCGAAGATACGGAGATTGTGCTTCTGCCGGCTGACAAAGGGAAGTCGACCGTCGTCCTGGACCGGGAGGTATACGAGGAATAGGTATGGGATCTTCTTGGCAGCCATGCTTATGTAAAGCTCAAGAAAGATCAGACGCCACAGGTTCAGAGGAACTTGAACAAAATCCTGGCAGAGATTTTCAAGAAATACCCTGAGTCAAAGAGCCTTTACTTGCGACTTATTTGCAGGAATGGCTCCGCTCCAGGTTTTTATGGCCTTCCAAAGATTCACAAACCCAACGTGCCTCTACGACCTATTGTGGATTTTACAACCTCACCGCTTCGGGTGCTATCCAATGATCTTCACCGGACTTTGGCTCCCCTCGTCGGAAACACGTCGCCCCATGTAAAAAATGCTGGCCACTTTGTGGAACGCGCCTCGCAAATACATCTCAGCGACGGTGACACCATGGTGTCTTTCGACGTGGTGTCCCTCTTCACAAGTGTCCCAGTTCTCCTTGCAGTTGCTGCAGCCCACAAAGCCCTCGAAAAAGACAGCTCCTTGACCACAAGAACCAACCCCACTGTGGAGGAGCTGTGCCGTCTGCTCGAGTTTTGTCTCGGCAGCACATACTTCACCTTCAAAGAAGAGCTTTTCAAACAGGTCAGTGGCACTGCAAAGGGTGCGGCCATCTTGGTCACAACGGCGAACCTCACGATGGAGACAATCGAGCAAAAAGCGGCGAGGTCTTTCTCCAACAGCCCCAAAGTATTCATGAGCTATGTGGATGATTGTTTCTGCATTCTCAAGGAACGGGACGTGACTAATTTTTTGGCACACCTCGACTCTCTCGAGTGTGCTGGTGAATCGACGAGGACAAGATCTGACGTTTGCGGTGTACCGGAAACCAACACAGACCGGACGGTACCTTGATTTTCACTCCAACCATCCAACGAGTCATAAGGCCTCAGTGGTTTCGACCCTGCTGCGTAGGGCAACGACTATCTGCTCGTCAGAAACCGATAGAAAGAAGAAGACCATAATTGAAGACCTAAAGAAATATGGCTACTCTAGTTGCTTTATTTAGCGCATCGCCTGACGACAAGGTCTCTCCAAACAAAACCAGATGCCAGTAGAAGAATGACAGCCCCATCGAGTCGCGCGCATCAGCGCTCCCTACGTAAAGGGAACCAGCGAAGCGCTCGCACGAGTACTTGGAAAGGAAGGTATTCTGGTGGCCCACAAGCCCACGTCCACACTGGGAAGGTTTATGCCAAGACCGAAAGACCGTCTACCAAAAGAAATAGCACAGGGCGTGGTTTACACCATTCCTTGCGCAGAGTGCCCCGCAACCTACATCGGCGAGACGAAGAACTTTCCCGAGCGTATCTGCCAACACAAGAACGACGTGCGGAAGTTTGACAGTGAGTGTAGCGCCATCGCCGAACATTGCAATACCCTAGACCATCGCATTGACTTTGCGAACCTGCACGTGGTGGACACAGAGCCCAATTTTCGAAGAAGACTTTTCTTGGAATCGTGGCAAATCCAGCATACGCCAGGAAACCTAAACACGTCGCTGGGAGCTCTTCCCTCTGTGTACGCACATGGCCTCCGTGATCTGACGGAAAAGCTGAAGAGACGACCATCTCCATAACTTAAAAGTTATTTTACAATTTTTTCAATTTCCTAACTTCTCTTTTCTTAATTTTTCCTTTTCTCTTTCTTCCTTTTCTTTTTTGAAGACGAAGAGGTTAGGAGCTGCTGCTGTGTCCGCGTGCCTTCAGTCACCCCTGAAGAAAAAACCGGGTTGGTTTTGAAACGTCGAGTTGCCTTTCAAATTTTAGTTGGAGATACATTTTCGGACTTTAACTCTCACCCAACAAGGGGTGTGTCATGTGATTGTTCAGCACCAGCTGCGGAACATACCGCATTTACTCACATAACGCTAATTTTTTAGCCTAACTTTTGAGAGGTACGACAATTGCGCAGGGTAACTTCGGGAGCTAAACGCAGAAATTGGTGATTGTTTGGGAAACTCCATTTTTCTATGCTTTATAGTTAGAAAATCAACCTTTGCAATATGATTACTGTGCTGGGTTTTAAATAATGCCATTTTATTAATAAAAAAAAGTGGTTGTACAATGAAAATGAGAAAAGAAACTTCGTAAGCTTGAAGATTTGCGCACAGAGTGTTCCCGCGGAGTCCCGTGATCTTCGGCACATTTGAAAGTGTTTTTTTCCCCGTTCAGATACGTATGGTGTATGCTACCAAAAAGCGCATAAAATGTCAAAGTCCGAATTGCGCTGGTGTATGCTACCAAAAAGCGCATAAAATGTCAAAGTCCGAATCGCGCTCCAGTCACTCTCACGCCTCTCAGTGAAGCATGTGATGAAAGCGCGCTGCATTTGTATTTTCAGTTTTATCTCATCTTGCGCGCTCCGTATTGTGGGTGCGTTAAATATCCGGGGGAGAATAACACTTTTGTGATGCTCAAGTGAGACCCGTTTATTACACGAGAGCTTTAAAAGGACCATGAACTAAAACTTTTATGGTCGTTGGATCAAATTTTAGTGACCGCATATCGCTTAATGGCTTAAAACAAAACTACACACATTAGTGCGGAACCAGAAAAGAAATTTGCAACGTGAAATGTCAAAGATAAGAGCCCGCTATTTCGTTCCTTGTCTCCTTCGCAAAGGCCGCTGCCTTTTTACCGTGATGTCTCCACGAAGAATTGTATGTCAGCCGATTGCAGCTCACCAATTGGCTACGAGCCCTTCACCACTCGGTGGCCAATCAGTGTGGTCATGGAATTAACCGAACTTAATTTAAATGGGCGGACAAATAAATACAACAGCACTCTTTGAATTGTGCGGTGACTTGCGCCACCTAGCAGGGCTCTGAGCAATGCTGTTAGAAGCCCCATGCTCTCGCTGTAGTGCAGCATATCTCATTGCATATCACTCAACTGGGTTTTATTTATAGCGATTGCGGCGATATAAAGTATGGCGATGGCACTGACGGCAGCGTTATGGTCATTATGGCGTGCCCCCTGCCCACCGCTGCTGCCGCATTAGCCGCACGGGCAGGGCCGGGAACGCTTCCGGTTCCGGTAGAATATGACGTCGCGGCAACATGATTGATCATTGCGCTGCTGAAGAGGAGCGCAGACTCGGTTTTCGCGGGAAAATCCGTTTATGGTCCCTTTAAATATGCGAGTAAATACAGTCTATACTCCAGCTGAAGTGCAGTTATCCATGCTATACATTGCTCATAAGCAAGAGATTGGGGGTTCAAATCACTGCAGGTAATGGATATAGTTTACCACCTTTAATTTATTCTGCATATGCATAGTCGTTTTGTGTTGCAGAAACCGAATTTTCCAGAGGAAGGGGGTTGCCAGAAGAAATGTTATCGCTTTGCAAAGCGGCCTAATGCCCAAAAAACACAGCTTCCCTTTCATGTGATTCAGTTCGCACCACTTGTTTCATACCCCGGTCTGGAATGACTTGCAGGTTCCTACACATTCTTTTGGTGAAAAATTGATTTCTAGATGCAGAGAATTCCGTAAACACTTGTTTTTATTTCATCACGATAACTACTGTAGTGTGCACGCTGCTGCAGCTGATAGATTTATTGTGCCTCCATGCTCTAAACTACCATTCGGCATTCCTGAGAAGTGCTACATGCATGGCATTGAGGAAGATTTGCATGTCAAAGGTCATAGAAAAATACCAATTTGAAGTAGTGCACATAGGCTGTCAACAGGTCTCTGAGACTTTGCAACCTTCACTTTGAGCATCCCTGTGCTAGGTAGTGAATTTTAGTAGTAAAATAAAATTATACTCAGTAGAATTGGTGCCTGCCTCTTTTTTGTTCTGTGACTGAGTCAGTTCTGTTTTTGCATCTGCAGGAAGAAACCATCCCGGCGACACCGTGCGTCGTTTACAAAGGGGAAAGTGTGGAGGCGGCAGAACAACTGGCCCTCCACATTGACGGGGTGCAGCTTTTTGGAGTTGTAGATGCCCAAGAGGGCCTGACTGCGGTCGTGGCTTCATACTGGCTTTTAGGTATATCTTACCACAAGAAGGCGTACAACACCTGTTGCATGCTGGAGAGGCTCGGTTTGAACACGGTGTTTTCGCCTATGCGAGCCGTTGCAATTAAGGTGTTCAATTAAATATCTTTAAAGTAAACCCCTTCCAGCGTTGCAACCAAAAAAGCGCAAAAATTAGACGAAGAACGAGTGAGAGGAATGTACACGACAAGCGCTGACTTACAACTGTATTTTTATGAAGTCGGCGCCTGTCATGTACTATCGGGGAAAATGAAACGCGGTACAGGCTGCGCCACCTGGAAGTGAGCCAAGGGGCGAGGGTCCGTGGCCTACTCCGATGTGTTCACGCCCTTCGCTCTGCGCTCCCCAAGCTTCGGCAGTGCGCCTTTCAGTGCGCTAAAAGCTATCACCGCTATCTTTATTCGCTCGGCGCGTGCGGCGAGATCCTTCGCACCGCATGCGCTGAGCCAGCAAAGATAGCGGTGATAGCTTTCAGCATACTAAGAGGCACGCTGCCGAAGCTTGAGGAGCGCTGAGCGAGGGGCGTGAACACAATGTAGTAGGCCACGCACCCTCGCCCCTAGGCTCACTTCCAGGTGGCGCAGCCTGTACCGCGAGCCATGCGCTCCTGTGTTCGCATTTCATGTTTCTCCGATAGTACATTCCTCTCACTCACCCTTCGTCTAATTTGTTCGCTTTTTTGGTTCCAATAATAAATTTGAACCAAAGCCTTGAGAATATTATACTTGACAAAGAGTGTCTGAGTTTTTAAAAACCTTATGTCGTCTTTATATTTTCCACATGTCCGTAGTTTTTTTTTTTTTTTTTTTTGCAAAATGATTAGTTTTTTGTAGTTTGTAGCTGTTGTTGTGCCCCACATCATGATGCCGTAACTGATCCTAGAATAAAATAGGGAGTAATATAACGTTAGTCGAAACCAGGCAGGAATTAAATTTGGAATTTTATCAATAATGCCAGTAACTCGGGACAAGTCGGCTTTCAGTTTGTTGACATGCGTATTCCAAGAGAGGTCCTCAAAACACCAAACACCTGAATTTTTTTTTCAGCTTTTTGCTTTAGTATTTTGCTTTCAATTTTGATGTTTACGATGCTGTCATCTTGGTTCCCCATTGGCTTAAAAATCAGATACTTTGATTTTAAGCCTCAACGAATTTTGTAGCTTTTTCTCGGAAATTTAACATTAGGTCACAAATGCTCGCGTTTGAAGTGTGGAATTGGTTTGTCGCGAATTCGTAACAGCTGAGGATAAAATCCATGCACGTTTTTCTGGATTGTTGTTGTTTGTTTATTTTGTAATAAAGAAAATAAATATAGTGAAAAGGAAGGAAATGGAAACGCGTAGAACGAAAGTTTAGCCTCCCGTAAGCCGGGTCAGCTTTTTCGTCCTACAGGAAGAGGGAGAGGGGGAAAAGATATAGGTAGAAAAGGTTAAAAAAAAACACACACAAAAGAACTGTACATTGGCCCTTAGGCAGGGCGCATAAAAGAGTCAGGGCGGGTTCTCGATGTCGTGATTTGCGCTGATCAGGCTGTTATTTTTCAAAGTCGAGAAGAGGGTCCTGCCTCATCCACGAAGTCAAGCACCGCCTGGAGTGCAGCGGTCTGCTTGGCCCGTGGTCCTCTCGGGAATAGGAGTTCTTGTGTAGTGCTGGCGTTGATGTGAAGTTTTCTGAAGGTTTCTAGTAGCGTCTTTCTCTGATCCTCATGCGCTGGGCAGGTCCAAAATATATGGTCGATGTCTTCGGGTTCATTGCATGAGCTGCAATTTTTTGTGTTTGACCGTCTGAGGAGGTGCAAACGGGTGTTGGTGTTCGAGCAACCCGTTCTCAGTCTGTGTAACTGCGATTCTTGTTTACGGTTGAATTTTTTCTTTTGTATCGGGAAAGGTGGATAACCAGCTGCCGTTTCTGCGTCAGGGTGTTGTTTTGTTAATTCTTGGTGGATTATGATGCGTGCGGAGTTGTACTTATGGATAGCAATTGTTGGGCAGGCATCTTTGTGTGCTGCCAAGGCAAGACCGTCTGCTACCTTGTTTCCTAGAATTCCCCCGTGTGATGGAATCCACTGGAAGTATATAGTGATCCCCACATCGTTTGCTTTCCGTGTGAGTTGGGCGATAGATTTTGCAAGGGGACAAGCGGTGTTGAGGTTAGCCAATTGCATTAGTGCGCCTTTCCAGTCAGTGAAGACAGCAAGGTCTATTGAGTTTATGTATTTTGGCACTTGTGTGATGGCAAGCCATATAGCTGTGCTCGGCTGTTGTTGAGCTAGTGCAATTGCTCAGCCGACCTTTACAACGCAAGCCCATTTCAGGGACGACATAGGCTGCTGTGACCGAATCGCCTTTCACACTGCCATCTGTGTAAATGTGGATCATATCTGCGAAAGTGCTGATTGTTTCGCTCCCAATATAATGAGCCACCGTCTCTGCGACTTTTTTCCGTCTTGGAAGGTCGACAATGTCCGTCGCTATTTTGAGATGGTTGTCCTCTCGATGCGGTGGCGGGATGGGGGGGTATACATTCTCTTTTCTGGATTGAAAAAATAAAGTGGTGCACATGTTTCAACTTGTTGGCAATCATTTCTCCTTAAACCCTTTTGATGAAGTGCTGCAGGGGTCTGTGCCCTATTCTGAGGATGTGTTACACATTTTGTATTACCTCTTCTAGCTGAATGAAATGAGAGTTACTGTGCAAGTGACCTGGTGAAGGATCATGGTGAAAATACCCGAGACTAGGGACAAAAAATTGGAACAACACAACTTGTCTCAAAACATTTGAGACAGTGGTGTGTAGTCCTAATTTTGTCCCAACAACACTTTCTCAAAACTTTTTGAGACAGTGCTGTGTTGTCCCAATTTTTTGTCACAAGTCTCGGTTTTTTTTTTTCACCGTGCTCTTCTAGCTGCAGTACACCCTTTTGAAAGGGTGTACTGCTGCAATCACACCCTAATAAACTGGTGTAATGCAGAATCACGCCTTTTTTGAAGGGTGTACTGCTGCCATTACACCCTTGTAAAATGGTGTAGAGGAGAATCACACCTTTCTGTGAAGGGTGTAAGGAATTACACCGGTTTTTGAGGGTGTGAGAAATAACGCCTTTTGTCTATGGCGTTTTCGTACACCAATAAGGGGGTGAGTTGTGACCCATGCCATTTACACCAATAAGGGTGTGAAAATGTTTAGTGTGTATGACCGCTCCAGATACCCTGTGACCGCTGTCCGCCAATTAGTTTAATGTTCTCGGTTTTTGAGGCTCATGATATGTAAGCAGATTAGTTTGGAAATGATGGATGCAACACCAACAATGTAGCATGTCGTGGCAAAAAATACTTTTAAACATGAAGCTGTGGATGCACTTCGGATACGTATTATGGCGCAATTTGGAAAAATTCAAAACGAAAGGGTACTACAGGAAAATGTGTGTCATTGACTTTTTGATAGTCCTTTTTACGCTTTAAATATATTTAGTTTCGCACAAGGTCGCGTCGAAATATTGAAATCATTAACTTTCAAGTAATCTCATATTATGCGCCTTCGTTGCTTTTCGCGCATCGTGAAATTCATTTACCAATTTTGGCTCTGTTACAGGTAAAACAGGTGAAAATCAAAAACAAAAACCTTTTGCACATATCTGCCCTCCGTATGCCGTAAATTGCTGGTTGCCAGTCAATTTCGTGTTTTATTTTTCAACTACGCGTGCTTTCATGCATCATCTAATAAATAACAAAAGCGAAACGTAGGAAAGTCTTTTCCCAAAACGTGGGAGCTCATTCAAAACTAAAGTATCCCAGGCAGCACCGAGTTCTGGGCCAAAACTTGGCTTGCGTCTGGCAGTTTAGGGCATTAAAAAGCCCGAAGAAGCCAAAGTAGTGCCAAACCTGACCTCCCTTGGCAACAGTCTGGGTATCTTGGCCCTAATTCGCCAAACAAGTGCCAAACTTAGGCTTCGCTGCCGGGTAGTTCGGCTGTCGTCTGGCATCTTCGGGCCTAAATCGCCTAAAAAATGCCAGATTTAGGCTTACTGCCCGGTAGTTCGGCAGATGTTTGGCATTTTTGGGCCAAAATCGCCAAACTAATGCCAAAGTTAGGCTTCACTTTTTTATAGTTCGGCTATCACCTGGCACATTCGGGCCAAAATCGCCACAGATGTGCCAGAGTTAGGCTTACTACCATGTAGTTCGGCAGAGTTTTGGCATTTTTGGGCCAAAATCGCCGAACTAATGCCAAAGTTAGGCTTCACTTTTTGACAGTTCGGCTGTCACCTGGCACATTCGGGCCAAAATCGCCAGAGATGTGCCAGAGTTAGGCTTACTACCTTGTAGTTCGGCAGAGCTTTGGCATTTTCGGGCCAAAATCGCCAAACTTATGCCAAAGTTAGGCTTCACTTTTTCACAGTTTGGCTGTCACCTGGCACATTCGGGCCAAAATCGCCACAAATGTGCCAGAGTTAGGCTTACTACCTTGTAGTTCGGTTGAGATCCGGCATCTTTGGGCCCAAGTCGCCAAACGAGCGCCCAAGTTAGGCTTCGCTTCCCGATAGTTTGGCTGTGATCTGGCAGCTGCGGGCCAAAGTTGCCAAACAAGTGCCAGAACTAGGCTTACTGCCTTGGAGTTCGGCTGATGAAATATTTGATGTATGCGGGTGCTCTTCATCTTAATTAAATAGAAATCAAGTTTTATTCGGCTGGCAACTTTATCTTATTTTGGGTGTCTCTTGATTTCTGCAGTCCAAAGGTTGGCTGAATGTTTTGGCGCGGCTGGAGCAGGTTTTGCAAACGCAAATAAATTGTGCCAGAGGTTGCACTCGCGCGTAGGTACACAAGCCAATATCGGGGCGCGCCGTGAGACTGGTTCGACATTATGGCGCGTTCACACCGGCGATCCGATCTAGTCGCGCCATAACTTTCATCGCAAAAGCGACCATCGCGGGCAAAAAGTGACGGGTTTTGAGCAGTCGCTTGCTGACCCGACTTTTTACGATGCACTCTAGTCGCGGAGAGGCCCAGCCAACCAACGGCGTTCGGAGCGAGAGTTTTTGAGAAGCGACTCGCCAACGAAGGCGTTGGACTCGCTCATCGCGCACGCCAAATTGACCAACGA